TTCAAATTTTTGTTTCCTCACACTGACACATTCAGACTCCTTAATATATCAGGTTTGTTCTGTAATCTTCATCTCACTGGTCATCCTTCTGAGCTTTACAACCCTAGTGAATCCCAAATTCTAAATCCTAAATTTCATGTGAGTAATATTTACGTTGAGGGATTATTAGTGATAATTTCTATTTCAGAATTTCCTTGAGCTACTGACTTGGAACATTATTTGGTAATCTATAAATCTAATCTAATCTAGAACATCACTCACAAAGCTATGAGCAGAGAACACCTGAAGTCAGCCGTCGAGCCAGGAAGTTGATTCTCAACGTGGTCCCTCGGCGAGCAGCAACATCACGTAGGGACTCGTTAGACATGCACATTATTAGGCCATATTTCAGATATATTGAATCAAAAAACTCTGAGGGTGGAGCCCAACAGTCTGTTTTAATCAGCCCAATCTGCTTTAACAAGTGATTCTGATGGGGATTAAAGCTTGAGAATCACTGAACTACAGAACTCCCAATATGTAGTTCTGTGTGTGATAGAGAAACAAATAATTGTCACAGGTGGTGATAGTATATTTTTGGTCCTGTCCTGAGGCCTACATAGAGATACAAACTATTTGCATTAAGTGCTTAATTAAAATTAATTCTATCTTGTAGATTCAGAATATAAAGTCATGGAGGATTAAAATGAAAAATGAGTAATCTGGCTCTAAAGGTTATGCACTTTAGATATATCTAATATGCCTTAGAACCATTTATCATTATTAATGTTACTTTACTTTCAGTTATTTTCAGGAATAAAGTCTCATGACACTTAAGACTTAAATTCCCGGGCTTCCCTAGTGGCACAGTGGTTGAGAGTCCACCTGCTGATGCAGGGGACGCGGGTTAGTGCCCCGGTCCGGGAAGATCCCACATGCCGCGGAGCGGCTGGGCCCATGAGCCATGGCCGCTGAGCCTGCGCGTCCAGAGCCTGTGCTCCGCAACGGGAGAGGCCACAACAGTGAGAGGCCCGCGTACCGCCAAAAAAAAAAAAAAAAATCCCCCAAAATGTATCTTTCATCTCTTATTATTTTTGCCTTCTGTGCTTTTCTAAAAAAAAATTCCATTTAAACACAAAACATTCACTTTTGTTTAATATTTTTACACCAATCATCGGATGTTTAATTTTTATTTACTTATTTTTAATTGTGTACTTCCACAATTAGTTCCCACAGTCATACCTAAATATACCTTAATGGTAGTTCCTTCTTTCTTAACTAAGGACTTAAGTTTATGAGAACAGATCCAAATCCAATGACTTTTCTGACTATTCTGTACCTGGACCTTAGATATCTGTATCCTGTAGAATAAAGCTCATCTTATTAGGTATTTTTAGAAAACAATTTTAGGGATAAACTGGTTTTATTAGAATAAAATCTTTCATATGCGTGCAGTACAGTAGAAGTGGTTAGTTTGGTTGGTGCCCATCTTTCAAATGGAAAGAAGCAATAGTATTTAATAAAAGAGGAAGAGTAAGGAAAATTCAGGGCTGAACACTGATTGAAGAAGGAATCAAGGAGATAAAAGACTAGTGGTGGTGTGGCTGAAGAGGGATTTATGTGGGAGACAGCTGTCCAATGCCAAAATCTCAAGTTGTTTGATGTATGTACACCCCTTGCAAACCTTCCCCTCTCTCTCCCTTATGAAACCTTTAGTATATTCTACCTTGCTTATGATGGTTGGTAGATGGATTTTCTTTGGGAGCATATGTGAAGATGTTCCAAATTTTTCTTTGAAGATTGGAGTTCAGCAAGAAAAATGTATGTGTAGTAGAAGTTAACACCAGGATTTCCATGAAGAGGAGGTGTGCTAATGAAATGAAACTCTTGAAAATGATAGAAAAAACATTTTTTACAGTGTAGGATTAGAAATAATCAGCATGTGTGTTAGTGTCTCTAAGACACTATGAAAGGAGAAATGTGATTCAGTAAAAATATTTTTCTTTATACAAATATTAAAACATTACCTGTTTAAACAGATCTTAAAACTCAAGTGACTGCAAGCTGAAGAACTATTTCAACTGATATTCAAAAACTAATATTCAAAACCACATTTAGTTTTACATTATTGAAAACAGCTTTTAAGTAAATCTGCATAAGAAAATTTCCCATATAATTGAAGTTTCACTTTCAAAGTAACAGTCTTATTTATAGTTGAATGTTTAGAGGATCCTATATTATATATTTTACTCTTAGTTTTGGTGTACTGTTACTCAGTTTAACCTTTTCTGGATGAAATCTGAATGTCATTCTGAACCCTAATTTTCAGTTTGGCATAGGGCAGGGCCTACATTAACCACTCAGTACATATTTAATGAATGAATGAATGAATGAACTAATGAACTGTACCCTTTATTTTCAGATCTAACCAGGAAAAGATCTGCTGCTGGTCTTAATTTTATTGTCTTAAATGATTAGCTTAAAAAGAAATTCAGTAAATGTATAAAGTGTTACACTACCTAGATCCTTATATTTCAAGCTGTTTTCCTTCTCTCTAATTATGCCCTAAATTCTTTGCTTTGGTAAAGGAATGTCACATCATAAACAGGTGAGATGTATTTGATGTTTTAGGGGCAGGAGAATATAGTAACACAGAGCTTGTTGAGCTGTTCCTGAAGATAAAACCGCTTTTAGATATTTTCAGATTGTCTTCTGATGGGGAGTAGAAAAATGTTTAGAAGGGCCTTTATTTACATGTTGTTTCTTACCCCCACTCTACCCATGACATTCAGACTGGCTGAGAGTGAAAAACCTTAAGGCTAATGTGGTGAAAGTATTGGTGTCTAAAAGAAGAAATCAAAGCATAAAACAAGCTTCTTGGTGTTTTTCTTATCTCCTTAATTGAGAATCTAATTTCATAGCACTATAGTGCATAGCATCACAGGGGCTTAAGTTTTTTTTAAACAGTGAAATATTTTAGGCATAAACAAATAGGGGAAAATGTAATAAGCATCTCTGTGTACACCACCTACCTTAAAAAATAAAACATTACAGATATTATTAAAACTTCCTGTGTTCCCTTTCCTCTACCCAGTGGAAATCACAATAGAATTTGATGTTTGTCATTCTTATTTTTCTTTTGATATTTTTACTACATATGTATGTATCAATGTTATATAATACTGTTTTGCATATTTTTTGAACTTTACATTAATGATATTTCTATACACCTTTAAAATGAACTTCAATGTTTTACCTATTCCTATATATTGAATATTTAATCCAGTCAGTTTATAGTGTTATATAACATCCTGTTTAATTACACCATGATGTATTTACCCATTTTGTGGCTGATTTAACTTTCAATGGCTTCCATTTTTTGCTATTGCAAGCAATTCTTCAGTGAACATCTTTGAATATTTTCTTGTGACCATTTGTGAGAATTTCCCTAGGGTATTACCTAGGAGTAGGATTGTTAGACCCCAGAGTTAACATAGCTTCAACTTTGCTATGTAATGCCAAATTGTTTTACCAGTGTGTACCCTCAGCTGCAGTGTTATTTTGTATCCTTGCTGACTACTTGATATTTTCAAACTTTTAGTTTTTGCTAATCCAGTGGGTGGGAAATGACATCTCACTGTTGTTTTAATCTGTGTTTCCTTAATTATGAGTGAGCTTGAGCATCATTATGTATGTTTATTGACCATTCATATATCCTCCCCTGAATATCTTCGTTGATTTTTCTATTGGTCTGTATTTTTTTTCTCATTGATTTATAGATCTTGATATATTTTGGATGCTCTTTCTTGGTATGTTCATTACAAGTGTATTCTCCCAGTTGGTAGCTTGTCTTGTCATTCTGTCTATCTATCTATCTATGTATGAAGGAAGATAAGTCTATAATTTTTGTAGTCAAATTTATCAGGCTTTTCCTTAAGGTTTTGTATGTACGTGTATGTGTGTGTACATGTATGTATTTTGTCTAAAAAACACTTATAAACCCAAGATTATAAACATATTTTCTTCTAAGCATTTTATCATTTTGTCTATCATATTTAAACATTAATCTATGTTCAAATGATTCTTCAGTAATATTATTGGTAGAGATCCATTTCATTTTTTTTTCATAAGGATCACCAATTGTCCCAGCACCACTTATTAAACAGTGTGTCCTTTACTCACTGATTTTTTGTTTGTTTGTTTTGTTTTTGTTTTTGTTTTTGCGGTACGCGGGCCTCTCACTGTTGTGGCCTCTCCCATTGCGGAGCACAAGCTCTGGACGCGCAGGCTCAGCGGCCATGGCTCACGGGCCCAGTCGCTCCGCGGCATGTGGGATCTTCCCGGACCGGGGCACGAACCCGTGTCCCCTGCATCGGCAGGCGGACTCTCAACCACTGTGCCACCAGGGAAGCCCTACTCACTGATTTTTAATGCCACCTCTATTACATGTTAAATTTCTATGTGTCCCTTTTGGCTTTCTTTCAGCATCTGCAGTCCACCTCTCCTTTGCCTCTTGTACTTTATAACCTTCTACCTTTCTTGCTTGAGGTGTTTCTTTAGATTTTAACTCAGTTCTGTCGCATACTTGTGGATTTGGGTAATATGATTTTAATAGTTTTTCACCACGTTTTTTCTACCATAACATGTATTTTATCTAGTTGCCTAGAATGCGTTTCTATTTTTTTCATATTATCTCCCTTTGTTGATGGTGTTTCTTAAAAAAGGACCCATCATTCTATTTATTGATAGAAGTAATAGAGTTGAAAGTACAATGGAAAATGTGTTTGTAATCTTTAAAGTTTGCAAAAGGCAAACTTTCAAATATGTTTTTTAAAAAATAAGTTAAGCATAACCTGCTTTTTCTAAATGACTAGTAGAGTATTTTGTTTAGTACCTTAGAAAACAATGTTTTTTAGGCAATTTGATTCTGTATAAGTAGGCAGTGTATTATACTTTGATTGAAATTTATTGAGTATTAGTCCTATAATGCTATTGTTAATTGATCATCTTTATTTTTTCAGATGATTGGAATCCATTTGCATACCCATATAAAAAACTGGATTTTGGAAAATGGGAGCTGTATATCCCACCAAAGCAGAATAGATCTGTCCTAGTACCTCATGGATCCAAATTAAAGGTACTTTCCTCCCTCCTGTTTTCATTTGAACTTACTATTTTCTTTTTGCCCTGTTTGAAAAGTTTGATTTAAACTATTAAAATGTAAACTGATGCATGATAATTATGGGAGAAACAGTGTAAATTTTTAAATAGAGGAAAATTTAAGAGAAGTCATCACAAATTGAAATGTGTTAGACTGGAATTGTTTGGTTGGTAAGGTACTGAACTTACTAGTTGTATTATTATCAACTTTGGAAACCTTATAGAAGGATCACTGAATAACTGCAAAAGTTTAGTCTGGAAAACAGAAAGTTTGATTAAAAAAAAAAATGAAACCTGTCTTCAAGTCAGCCGGGCAGAGAATTTTTACCTGTAGAGACAGACTTGATGCAATTGACTTTGTGATGAGCCACATAAATGTGGGAGGCTGTGTTGGAGACCCATGCCTTTTGGGGATACGATTTTCTTGATCTTTTTCTGCTCTTTGATATCAGGGCTGTTGCTTCTCCTGTTCTCCTTGGATTAGCCTAGGGGCCTGCCTGTCCTCTACTTCCCCTCTGCTTTGGCTGACCATGCAGCTCTGCATTTAGGGTGTGCAGAGCCAACACAGCTGCCCTCTTCTGTCTCCTCAAGGGAGGCTTGAAGGATGGGTCCTAAAGTCTGGATTACCTGTCACAGATTTGATTACATAAAAGGCAATCTAAATCCTTTAACATTTACTTGATTTTAGCCCATGCTCATATAATTATATAATATTTCCATGTCCCTTGTATCTCTTTCCCTTCCTTGGACGTGTGATAGCATTCATAGCATTTTTCATGATAGATTCTGTAACTGAATTATATTTTTATTGGCATTTATTATTTAACAATATTAACCAGAGCTACTTAAAGTATATTTAAAATAAAAAATGTGTTGTATGTTTGTTTTGCAGTTTTTTACAAATAATGAAATTATAAGTGTACCTGACAATACTGAAATATTGCCACACATAATATAGTTACCAGAAGAGCATATTGTCTGGAATAAAGAAACATTTTTATATGGGATAGCAGCCAAGGTTCTCCTAAATCTGAAGTGAAAAGGAGAAAAAGTAGCTACAGTATACAATAAGAGGGATTTAAATTTAATATATATAATACCTTTTCCAAGTCAGTATAAGCTTCACGAGAGCAGGGGCCTTTGCTGTTCTGTTTGCTAATACTGTATGTTTTCAATTCTTAGAAGAGTGCCTGGCACAGCGTAGGCACTCAAAAAATGTTTATTGAATGTTAAAGCCATTTTTAGGCCCAATCTTTGAAGGAATAAACCATAGAGCTTGATTTTTCTATGGTCTGTAAGTCCTGATTTTAGGAAACTGTGAAGCAAGGCTACTATTATAGTACTGATTTCATTGTTGCTTTAGGTCTTTTGGACATTTGTTTTGTTATATTTTGTTTTTAAGAATTGAAATTTCCAGTTTTTTAAAGTGCTGCAGAAATTTTTTTGTCTTCTTAAATTAGAAAATTTTATGGGCTCCAATTACCTACACTTTGCATTAAATGGCGGGTGAATTAATTAATGTTTTACAGTTTTTAAAATTGAAGTATAGTTGATTTACAATATTATATTAGTTTCAGGTGTACAACATAGTGATTCAGCATTTTTATAGATTATATTCCATTTAAGTTTATTACAAAACAATGGCTATATTTCCTTGTGCTATGCAATATATCCTTGTCGCTTATCTATTTTATAAGTAGTATTTTGTATCTCTTAATCCCATACTTCTATTTTCCCCCTCCCTCCTATCCTCTCCCTACTGGTAACCACTAGTTTGTTCTCTATATCCACGAGTCTCTTTCTGTTTTGTTATATACAGTGAATGAATTAATTTTCATGTGTTGTTTTTATACATTGGGAAAAAATGATTACTAGGAATGAATGCTTATTAACATACAGTTAATAATTATAGGCATTTTCCTCTCCCATCCAACTCTAAAACTTTTATATTTTCTCCTATGGTCTGAATGTTTGTGTCCTCCCCCCAAATCATATGTTGAGATACTAATTCCTGATGTGATGGTACTAGTACATAGGGCTTTGAGAGGTGCATAAATCATGAGCGCATAGCCCTTCAAATAGGATTAGTGGCCTTAAAAAAGAAACTCCAGAGAGATCCCTAGCCCCTTTCACCACATGAAGATACAACAAGAACTCTGCATCCTGGAGAAGAGCCCACACCAGACCATGCTGGCCGCTGATCTTGAACTTCCACCTTCCAGAACTGTGAGAAATCAACTTCTGTTGTTTGTAAGCCACTCAGTCCCTGATATTTTGTTATAGCAACCCAGATGGACTAAGGTGCTTTCAACACTATGCTATGTACTATACTATGCTTTTTTCATAAATTCATTTGACCTGGATGAAATGAAATAATAAAAAAAAATTTTTAAAGCATCTTTTACCTTTTTACTTAAAAAAAAATCTATAACAGTAAACATTCAAAAAATATCAATCAACTGTTGTGTAATCTTTCTTCATTATTCTCTAAAGATTCCAGTGAGGATAAATTTACTGGAAATTTAGGCCCAAAGTATCACTCATAGTGTTTAGATGTTTCAAATTTTGAGGAAACATTTAGATGCTATTATAATGTCAATATGGTGATATAATTAGTTTTTCACTTATGGGAAATGAATTATCAGATTTTCTTTGGGGGGGCTGGGATTAAATTCTCTATTAAAAATCAACTAACTTAAGGTTTTTGGCCTTTCAATCTGAAATTGTCCCTAGGTAGTCTACCTTGATAATTAAAAATCTTGTCTTAAATTGAACTTGAAAACTTATTTCATCCCACAAGGGATTGACCTTTATAACTCACTTGTGGATGTTTCTCTTACGAATTATCTGGTAACCATTCTCAAAAAAGAATATTACCTACCATTGAAATAATAGCTTTATTTTCTTTGCAAAATACCTGGTCTTTTCAATTGAACACTTTGGAAGAAGATAGCCCATTGCTTATATGGTCACGTAAATGTCTCCTTTCCATGTTTTTAAGTGAGTTTAACTAAACAAAATATTTAAAAAGTAAAGTAATAAGGTGAGGAGGTCAGTGAAAGACCCCACGTCAGGAAAAGTGAGAGGTCGGGGAAAGTGACCTTGAAAGGTGGGTTGGGGGCAAACTGAAGAATTCCTTTCTTTTCTTCTGATTTCCATTTTCTTCTTTTTTTAAAAAACCATTCCTATTAATATCCATATGACTAGCAATGGCAATTAAAATTGTCTTCTTTTAAGTGTTTAGGATGTTTATGTACTTTAACTTTTCCTTGCCACATCAGCAACAAAATGGACTAGGATAAAGGTTTTTTGATACCAGACTTTTAGCCTTTTTGAAGGATCATGTATTAATCATCTAGAGCTACAATAACAAAATACCGTACTGTGGGTGGCTTAAACGACAGAAATTTAATTTCTCACAGTTCTGGAGGCTGGAAGTCTGAGATCAGCCAGCATGGTTGAGTTCCAGTGAGTTCTTTTCCTCGCTTACAGATGGCACTCACATGGCACTAATCTTATCAACAGGCCCCATGTTCATGACCTCATTTAAACCTAATTATCTCCCAAATGTCCTGTCTCCAACTACCATCACAGTGGGGTTAGGGCTTCAACATATGAACTTGGTGGGGGGCACAGTTTGGTTCAGAGCAGATCATATTGCTTTCTGAATTATATTTAGATGTTATACAATTGATTGGTAGAAAAGGGTCATGGAACTTAATACCTACATTTGCAGTTTTCTCAGATGAGACACATGAAAGAAATTAGAGATTATTTTACATTCATATTTAATTTAATCCTCACGGTAACACTGTGAGATAAAATACTGTTATTATATATTCATTTCATAGATGAGTACACTGACATTTAGAGAGGTTAAGTAGATGGTATTGCCTGGACTTGAATTCAGGCTTGTCTAATAGCAAAGTCCATGGTCCTAACCATTGTGCTACACTGCTGGTCAAGCTAAGGGTTCATAGAGAGAAAAACGAAAAAAAAAAGTGATACAGAGGAAGTAGAACTTGAGCCTTGTCTCAGGTCTAACTAATTATTTTATACCATAATTGCTTTTGCTTTTTTGTGTGGGGACTATTGTCTCCATTTTTCAGTGTGCTGAGTATTGAAGTGACCTTCCCTGAGAATAGAAGGGAGATAGAAAGTTTGTGGAAAGAGTTTGCGTTTTAGAGAATAAGAGATCAGATTGATTAAATAAAGTGAAACTAGTTATTGAGGGCTAGAATGAGATTGCTAGGCAGAAGGATGCCACTGGGCAGGGATGTGGCATGTTGAAAAATTAGTATCTGCATATTTGCTTAAAAGGTTAATCTCATAAGCACTTCATCCTTTATTTCTGGACTATTTTCTTATGTCATTTCTTCATCTATTTCCTTCTCTCCACATTTTCTGTTAACTGTTTTAGGATATTCTAGTATTTGGATATTGAATCTCCTAGATTTTCTTATCTTTTTGTCAAGTTCCCCATCATTTTGACTTTCTGTTCCATTTTGAGAAGTTATCTTCCAACTGTATTATTTTAGTAATCACATTAAAAACATTTCTAATAAAATGCCTGTGTTGTCTACCTTTTGTGTAGATTCTGTCATTGTTAAATATTCAAAGATAGTTCTATCTTTTTGAATTATTATAGATGTTTTATTTTTTCTCCAAGTTTTCTTCTTGTTCCCCCACCCCCTCACTGTTTCTTTCAGATTTTCTTTTCCTGTGTGTTTTTGTTTGTTTTTTAGTCCCTTGTCTTTTGTGTTTTAGGCTGTCTTGAAATGCCTGGTGATCCATGATAATATCATTTTAGAATGAGTTAGGAAAAGACAATTGAAAATTCTGTTTTTGGTGTGCTTTGTTCCTGGTGATCTTCACTGTTGGGTAGTCAGAAAGTGAGATAGCCTTTATATTGATGGAAAGAAGTGAAAGTTTTTCTCTGGGGTCATTTAGTTTTTACAGAGGTGAATCTTGCAGTCT